TAATCGTTATTGATAAAGTAGTTCCACTACTGTCGTAGCATTCATACGGTATTCAAGCAGTCCATATTCGCATAGACCGCTTCTGGGACTCGTACATCTCTGCCGTTTTCGCAAGACTCTCTGAAAGTGTACACTAATGTTCCAGTTCTTCTCTCACTGAAATAATATTTTTAAATGCTTCCACCGATCCGACCTAAAAAGCTCTATTCTACGTTAGTTACCGTTGCGAGAAGACGGATGCTGACGATGCACGATCGTCACAAAAGGCGCCGTAGCAGCCAACTGCAGTTGCGTTTGCGTTTGAAGGATAAGGTATGACATCATCAAACTAGCGGAGATGAGAAGACGTCACCCGTTCAACGCCGTCTGCGATACAGGACAACTGTCCCTCGAAACGTACGACGGTGTAGGAATCGGCGGCAACGGCGTTATCGTCAACACGGATTTGTGCATGAGCATAGATTCATTTGAACAACCAGCAACCGAATCAGATGACTACGACTGAAGAGATGTGGAACGGTGCTGGCTTCGATAATATTCGTGGTATACGCGCTAACATCAAGCTACGACCAAGAAGTCGACGAGTTCTATATGGACTTCGACGAGCTCTACGACCATAGGTTGTTCAAAGTCATCATTGGAGATTTTAACCCTAAGATTGGACCGAAAACAACGTCTAAAGAACGTTACATTGGCAGTCGTGGATTACTATAGAACGAGAAAGGTGAGCGGCCGTCTGAATTCATCACAGCGGCCAAGACCATTCGTGGTAACTCACAATTCCAGACGCCCCATCCGCAACGCTGGACGTGGTGGCATCCCAGTGGAGGCTACCATAACGAAACAGACCACATCATAGTAAATAGAAGGTTTTCCCTAACCGATGTCGCTGTTGTCCTAAAATTCTACATTGGATCAGACCATCGTTTCCTTCGTGCAAGAGTCCTTTTATCGCGAAAAGGAGAAAAAGCCGCTAAATTCCAAAACCGAAGTCCCAAAACCACCGTAAACTAGGATTTATTCAATTCATTAGTCGGCGGTTTGGAAGACGCCGTTGTCGATAACAACGACGAAGAACACTATCGGCTCATTCAACATCTTCACGTTAGCGCTATGAAAGCTGAGCGCTTCGAAAGTTACCAAGAGACGCTTGTCTCCAGAAACCCAAGAGCTGATGCGCCAGCGTGGAATCGCACGAGCTCCAGGCAACCGAGAACTAACGTCCGAGCTTGCAAAACAATGCAGACAGGCGATAAAAGAAGATCTTAAAGAGAGAACAGCAGCATTAATAGTCGAAGCTGCAGAGGCTGGGAGAAGCATTCGCAAGGCCCACCGAAGTTCACCAATTACAATGCCGAGATGATTGCTCTCCGACGCCCAGACGGAACAGAAACAGCCTCCAGAAAGGCAATGGAGAAAATTACTCACGAATACTACTCAGATCTCTTCGATAGCCACGCCCAGCTTCCATCATATGAAATAAAGGAGGATGGATATGTTGTTACCGGTTCTCCCTTCCGAAATCCAACATGCCATTTCGTCGGTGAAAAATCGAACAACACCAGGTCCGGACGGGATAAGTCGAGAACACCTGAAGAACCTTTCGCAACTCCTCGTAAACGCACTGGCTCGGCTCTTCACACGTTACCTGTCTGAATGAAAGGCCCCTACCCAGTGGAAGACCAGCAAAACCGTACTATTATTCAAGAACTGTAACCTCCACGATGTCGACAGCTACCGCCCAATCTGCTTGCTGTCTGTCGTCTACAAAATTTTCACTCGAGACGTCCTAAACAGAATTGACAGAACACTAGACGAATGTTAGCCATGTGAGCAAGCAGGGTTTCTAAAAGGATTTAGTACGATGGACCACATCTAAACGATAACAAGATTCATTGAAGTATCGCGAGAGTACAAAACCACTCTATTCCGCTTTCGACAATTTAAAGAAAGCTTTCGTTGAGAAAGAAGCTGTTGTGAAAGACAGGGCCAACGAGAGGAAGGTTGTATTCAGTATATAAAGATTCTTCGTGAGCTATATAAACGTTTCACAACCAACAGTGACGTCAAAAAAGGTGTTAGGCAAGGTAATACCATGTCGACAAAATTATTAACCGCCACCCTCGAGAACACAGAACATGTGAACATTGGAATGGGATAACATGGGAGTGAAAATCGATGGTCGCCAATTACACCATCTTCGCTTTGCTGATGACATCGTCCTTGTAACACTAAACATTAGTCAGGTGGAACGTATGGTTGCCGACGTTGATAAGGCCTTTGGAAAGATTGGTCTTCGACTAATTCTCACAAAAACGATGTTCATGAGGAACGGATTGGTTTTGTATGCCCCATTCACGCTAAAAGTAGCGAATATCTCCGAATGCTCCAGTTATGCCTATCTAGGCTGGGAAATCAACACGTCGAACGACTTAGCTCCAGAGCTGAGCAGAAAGAAACGAACGGCTTGGAAAGCTTTCAAGTGCATCGAGGATGTAGTGAAGAGAACACCCGACTCCGTACCCACCTTTTCGACTCAAGGTACTTCCTGCCCTAACGTATGCGTCAGAAACCTGGTCGCTTCCTAAGTAGGATAAAGGATCACTCAGCGTCATTGTACGCGCAGTCGAAAAGACGATGCTAGCAGAATCCCGTTTCACGCAAATAAGAGAAAGGTTTCGAAGCTCCAACCTTCGTCAACGATCAGAAATCAAAGATGCTGTTCTGTACGCCGAACATTTGAAGATAAGGTGGGCCGTACACGTATTACATACGAGCGACAACCGATAAACAGGAGCCAGTAGTGACTGGATTCACCGGGATTTCAGACGTACAGCATGAAACCATCGACGCGGTGTTCAGTGTTCTTCTCGAAAACCCTATAAGGAATGTGGTGTGATGCTCAACGAGTCCGCAGAAAGAACAGAACTTTATTGGGCTACTCTTGCACGCTGCATGGAAAAATGGAAGATTTAATGCTCGCTCGAGTCAGTCGACGACCCACGAAACAACAGATGATACGACACAGGTGATACCCAGATCTATATCGTAGGGTAACGAGCCTCAGGCAGGTCCATGAAGCCCAGCAACCACTTGTGTTCAAGGTTTGCAAAGATAATCACGTCTATCCCAGAGCGCCAAGAACTGTCACTGTCTAACATGGAGACAGGTGATAAAGAATCTGGAAGCAGTATCGGTTTGCAGAACCCGATCAACTCCATAGATGGTAGTTTCAGGATGACGAAACAAATTGAAATGTTAGGGTCCTTTCGTAATGTGAAAATGCGCTGTTCGACTGCGTAAGTCTGTTCAGCTGGTTTTATAAAATTTTATGAACATTTAAGCGTAAACTACTGTCGTACATTAACCCCAATTTTGAGGTTCCAAATGAAAAATTCTCCAATTTCACGTTGACCTTGCAGTTTAATTTCATTTACTTCAAGGTAAGTGCATTATCCAAGTAACCGATTAATGCCAGAAGATTCATCATTTTCTAGAAACTTAGAATTGGATGACATGAGTGTTTCGAAATGTGCATTATTCAAGTAGATAAACTGAGGTCTTACTTTGCTCGATGGAGTGACTGTAATAGACGAACATTCAGGGAAGACAATGATGCTAATTTCCATCCGTCATGCATACAAAGCCTTTCGATGGCGAATAGCCCAGTAGTAAACAGTTACTGATTAAAATGACTCCATGCAAAGGAAGTGAACACATTGACAGTGATTAAGAAGCAACTTTATCGATAAGAGGAAAAGAAATCTGAACACATTGCTGAACATGATATGTCATGAGATCGATCAGTGATGAACAATATGAGGGCACAACAAAAATATTGCAGAATGCACTGAACAATGAGAAATTACTAGCGTTATTACCTAGATAAAAGTAAAAGCATTTGTTATGAGGCATAATTTAGAGTTACATAAGAAGTCCGCAGTTGCACGACCTCTTCACATAGACCAGGAACAACACCACCACCACCAAATGGTGGCAAAGTACACGTATAACGATGTAAGGAATAGAACTGTGTCAAAAAAAATCTAGCGGAACCTCAGAAAAATAAGTTGAACTGAAATTTATTTGACTCATAGTTTATTTCGCTTTATAATTGATCCCTGACTCTACGAGCTTCTGGAGAGCATTACGAAAACGCAATTCAAATTTGAATACAAATATATATATATATATATATCGATCTCTAGACAGGCAGGCAAGAAGTAGAACAGTACATAAGTTACGACATAAATTATACCATCCTCAATTTATGACCAGAATATTTCCAAGTTGAGAGGTTAAAGAACCCCTAGAACCTCCAGTAAAGAAATGACTGGTTCGGAGGTTGAGGCAGGTAGTTCGAAAGAACGAGATTACCTCGCCAAGTAATCAATTTCCTAGGAAAATCGTATTTGCAGCAAACAAGGATCATGAGATGAGAAGTCTGAATGCAAGTGACTTTCACTAATGACGTGATGCTGGTCTACTCTAAATGTGTTCCTAAGTATTGTCAATGTGGAAAGAAAAAACCACAATAAATTAAGGTAATTAAATCACAACATTAAACACCTACTAATATTCTCTCGTGAACACATAACAGATCAAGCAGACTAGAATATAGCAAGCTCTTCAAATAACATTGGTCTTCCTTCTCATCAGTACGAGTCTGGGATAACGGGGATCACTAGTCCTCTAATTATATACAAATCCTCATTCAAGCTACTTCAGTCATTCCACTTCTGATTTCCTCACATTATCAATGCATCGATGTCCGCCACTGAAAAGCATCACACGCAGTGTTGTACGACGAACACAATGCGTAGTGCAATTCATGCATATTGATCTACAACACTGTATCGTGCAGTCGACACCATATTGGACCACGCGTATCGATGGATTACTAGCAGTTTGGATGCTTTACCAAGACTGAAGAGGAACAATGTCAGTCTAGTGCATTTCTTATCAAAACCGAGGCACACTGGAAGTATATTTGTGTACTGCTATTCCTCTCGCTCAGTATCGAACATCGAACGCAACATGAGAAACGTGTGCAGTTGCTCTGGTTGCACGCTGGCGTGCCGTTCGTCAAATATTGTCTTCGGCGCCAATGCAGGAACTGAAAGAACCCGCCGTGCCAAGGAAGCCAACGAAGGAAACTGTGCTTGACCAACGGTACTCCAGAACAGAACCACGTCTCTGAAATAAAAAACGATAAAACGATTAGAACAAAAAGTCTTCTTTATGTATTAATACATCTTATATATCCGATATGGCAGTGTTGGGCATAATGCGTACGGAAAAGCTGCTAAGATCTGAGGACCAGTCTAGGCTACATAAATCTGGAAGAATGAAGGTGACGTGACATCTGTAACTACAATGCACGCTCATCTGCATCTGAATCCTCTAAAGAAGATCTGATTATGCAGGCAAGAAGAAAGTACGACGTCACCAGACTAGCTGAGACGAGAAAACGACGAGCTTTCAACACTGTCTATAATATAGGAGAAGAACTGTCCTTTTAAACATACGGTACTAGAAGTAGGCGATGTCGACACATCTAATAATCTCAGTACGGGCGAGTAGCATAGTGGTAATGATGCCGATCATACGAGCACGCCGCTGCTTCGACTACTTCCTGAGCTCACGAAGCCTCTCATCCCTTCAAGGACGGGAAATTGGTACCGAACATGTCTGGAAAAAGCTCACTCTCTGCAGTCCAGGTGAGAACGCTCTAGCACAGCTATCTCAGGATTCCAGGGAGAAGCGAATCAACCACCACTTAACAACATTCACGACAATACACGAGCACCAGGTGATGCCACATATAGAAAGTTGTAAAACTTTTCTGGATGATGGATGCGAGGAAACGAATTTCATCAAAGCAATACTGGAATCCGCATAGTAGACGTGAAACATGGGTCTTGTAAAAAAATAACCCCAATCGAAAGTTTACGGTTGAAGAGATGTGGATCAATACTTACTTTGATAAACTTCGTCGTCTACGCACGAAATCCAACTACGACGAAGGCAAAGTCGAAGCGTTCTATATGCATTTGGAGAAGTTCTTCAGCGAACAACGTGCATTGTCTAAGGTCATCACTGGAGATTTCAACGGTATGATTGGACCCAGAAGAAAGTGTGAAGAATGAAACGTCACACTGGGGCGCGCGGATTAGAATGGAAGGAGTGGGCGGCTGAGTTCACCATGACGACCAAGATTATTCACGGTAACTCACAATTCCAAAAGCACAGCTCTCAATGCTTGACGTGTGCTCCAAATGGAGAGTACCATGACGAAACAGACCAATTCATTGTAAATCGAAGGTTTTGCCCAACCGATGTCTCAGTTGTTCTAAAATTCTAGACGGAATCGAACCATCGCTTCCTTCGTGCAGGTTTCATTTTTCGTAAAAATAAGAGAAAACTTTCATATTCAACATAAAACCCAAAGATACCATAAACTATGATTCATTCAGATCATAGGTCTGCTATTGGAAATACGCCTTTTTTGATAACATGTTAGAGGAACAAGATAGGCTTACTCAACGTCTTCAAGCTAGCGTCACTAAAACCGAAAGTTCAAAAGTCTCCAAGGGACGTTTGTATCCAGAAACACTCAAGTGGATATACGAATGTGGAATGGAACGAACAACATGCAACTCACATTCGAAGTTTCAAAACAATGCAGACAGGAGGTAAAAGAAGATCTTAACGAGATAAGAGCAGCATTGATGGTCAAAGCAGCAGAGGCTGTGAAAAGCATTAGCAAAGTCCACCGAAACTTCGCCAATCACAAAATCAAGATGGTTGCACTCTAACGCCCAACGGAACAGTTACAGGGTCCAGAAAGCCAATGGAAAAAGTCATTCAAGAATACTACTCAGGTCTCTTCGATAGCCACGTACACCTTCCTTCATATGAAATAAGGAATGATGGATATGTCACATCGCATGTTCTCCCTCCGAAATCCGATATGCTATTTCGTCGGTAAAGATTTGAAGAACGCCAGGTCCGGAGAGGATAAAATCTCAACACCTGAAGAACCTTCCACCAGTCCTCGTAAACACACTGTCTCGGCTCTTCACCACGTTACCTGTCAGAACGAAAGCTTCTTACACAATGGAAGACCAGCAAAAGTGTGTTATTGTCCAAGTACGGTGACCTGACGATGTCGGCAACTATCGCCTAATCTGCCTAGTGTCTGTTGTTTATAAACTTCCCGCTCGTTTCATCCTGACTAGTATAGATGAAAAATTGGACGAAAGACCGCCTTAAGTGCCAGCATGGTTTCGAAAAGGATTCAGTACGACAGACCACATCCACACGATAATAAGACTCACTGAAGTTTCATTATGAGACACCTTTGTCTCACTTTAAAGCCTTGAAGAAAGCTTTCGACTCGGTAGAGAAAGAAGCTATCGTTGAAGCTTTGGACCGCTAGGGTGCCTCTATTCAGTAAATAAATACTTTCCGAGAGCCACATAAAAATTTCACAAAAAAACCATTCTACAACAATACTAACACTAATGTAAAAGGATGGGCTACGCTCAACGAAATACCTCGGAATGCTCCACCTACGTATGCCTAGAACACTTGACACTTAAACGGCTCGCTCTCACTGGTTGTGCAAACTCTTGCATAATTACAATTCATCGGAGATTTCCTGCTTACGCCATTGCGGTTCCCTGGAACCCCGAGGTCAGCCTGGCCAAAGTCCGCCCAAGTGTTCACCACCATGGGCAGTCGCAGCCCTTGTAGATAAGAGATTTGCCACCATGCGACTTTGATGCCAGGACGGTGGTGGATCCTGGTATTGGTTTACTCTTAGCAAGCCATCTCGATGGAAACGCCGGACTGCTTCTCAGCTTGGCAGACCCTGTCGTGGGGACGAATTCTCCCGCTGTACATCACAGTCCAACACACAGGAACGCCTCCTAGCCGCTATGAGGTGGTATACCGTTGGGGGGCTGCGTAGAACATACAGTCAAAAAGACTATACTAGGAATATCCCGTATCAAGCAAGGCAAAGGCAAAGAGGGAGATCAGGAGTCCCGACCTATGCCAACGATCAAAAATCGAAGAGGCAGTTCAATACGCCGACCTATCGAAGATAAAGGGGCCCAAATCGCCGACTTCTAGAAGAAATAAATACTCAACATGAGTCCCTAGAGGAAGCGGAACCCACAGATTACTCATTAATGCGAAAGGAGGAAATGGAGGTCGAGTCAATGAAAATGGAGATTTACTTGCGCCAGCTGAATTCACTCGACAATCAACGGGACGACAGGTTACAGGCAACAGGTGAATCACACATCTCAAATAAAAACGATAGTAGTGAATTGAGGAATGTCTTTGCGCTCCTAACTTTAAGGTTTTATGGTCTTGTCATACCAACTGCGTGTACACAAAATGTATAAAAATTGAAATGAAGGGGAAAAAGTCCGACAACTGGTGAAACTGCTTTCCAAATTTTCTATGATACTGAATCACAAATCACATCATACTCATTTGTTTTCTTCGCTTTAAATTGTTGTTATAGACTGGATTCTACGGCGAACTTTGTTTGCTGTGCTGGATACTGTGAACGTAGATAGCACTCCAGTTCGTCATCACCGACCGGGTCGTCTTCCAAAGAACTCAGGAACAGGCGCCTTTTTCGATGCGGCTCACCCTCGCATGATCCATCACGACTCAACGGCTCACGTTGGGTACGAATACCACACAACTCTCGTATCCGATCACAAGCTTGAGATCTGAAAATGAAGGCGAAGATAACCTATTCCCACAAAGCTCGGCAACTTTACTGGCAAAGAAGCTAAACTATCGCAAAGAGATTTATCGTGCATTACCAAACCTATAAAAAGCAACATAAATTGTTGTTGTACCACAGGATTCTGACTAAAATAAACAGTTGACTTTCACAGCTAACAGCAGTGGTGCTTTAAAGATGCAGTTCTTCACTACTTCTTCGACTAATATCATGGAAAATAACCCTTGAAAATAACAAAAAAAACTATTTGCTGTCCCTCCGTCGTAAAGCTTGGAATCACGATATTTTAGCAGGGTTTAGGAAACGAAATGTACTGTTGAATTAATGCTCAACTGCCTACCGCTCGTGATCCGTACAGATGAGATTCAGCTTTCGATTATGTCGTGGATTGAGAATAGCAGCAATGCGGTGTTCGACTGTGATCGTCGTTGCCTGTTCTCGAATCAGAAGTTCGCTGGCTTTCTAAACCATCGTTCATCGTAAACGTTCTTGAAACCTTAAAACAAAAGGCGAAAAAATTATTTAAAGAATTAAAGAACCAACGGTTTTCAGTTCACACAACAACGGTGACGTCTCATCTGACGAAGGGTGACATTCATGCATAAGGGCATACCATTCAGGAAGAACCTGGATAGTGAACTATATAAAATTAGTGCTACAACGGAAAGTTATGCAGTTTAATGACAATCTCAAGAGTTCTGTGAAAAGATTTCGTAATACGTAGAAAATACAGTGCTGTGGTTTGCCTACAATATTAAGGTAATCTTGGATTCAATAATAAGAAACGCTTACAGCGTTGGTCACCCTTGTCAAGATAACGTGTGACCACTGCAATAACTTTTTAGAGTTCGGGATAGCACTGAACGCTTTATTCTGATGGTCTGCTTTTGGTTTCCCAGCTGTGGATATATAAAAGCTCCAGCCAGTTCCAACACAATCGAATTACGACGTGTTTACAGAAATAGGGTGACATCTGACATCACGTTGCGCTATTCACAGCACTTCAATGTAACTAAGCCATGATAAAGTTTACCGCTAGCGGCTATTTCTAACCACAGAAATTCAGAATATAAAATCTATGTGCACAATAATATGCAGCCGTTCATTGGTTGAACGTCGGCAGAATTATGCAAAAAAAAAAATACGAACAGCTCGCCTAATTTAAAGATTCGACATAGCAATGCTTCAAAAGTGGATTTACTTAAGCTAACACTCATAGGTAAGGAGCGACACAATCGATATTTTTCAACAGACTATGGACATTCTTCACAATAAAATCAGAATTAGAAAGCTGACCTTGTGGAAATTTGGTTGTTCTTCAGACAACGACTCGTATGTCTCCTGAAACGGACCAAGAAACTCCTCCAACTCCCGCAAGTGCTCGACATTTAAACTAGCAAGCAATATTTGTAAACCTAAAGTTTTATTACCGTAATAAACTAAATATTTCAAAGCGTATCGTTTATTTATTCACTTCACTACGAAAAAGTGTCGAAAGACCAAAAAAGATGAAGAAAAATTCATAGAAGTATCAATATAAGAGCATGACTACAACGACCACCGAACAATTCATTTCATTTCATGATAGAACAAAAACAATAACGACAACATGTCGAAATTTAACGCATAATATTATATAATATTTGCCATACGCTACTGATCAACGTGGTACTCATGGTGCCACGAAAAAGAGAGCTGTCCAGTGAGTGGGCGTCACTCGCTTGCTGGAGATGAAGACTGTCATGTTTTGTATGACACTCACTGTTTCCACTCCCTTTGGAGGAAAATTACCTATTAGCAGTTAAACTTGAGGTGATGCCCATTTTTGCAGAAGGTTCCGTACCATATTTCACTTTCCACCTACTAAATTTCAACTAATTTGCCCTGTGCTCTTTGGTGGAATCGCTATGTTGGAGGATAAAGGATAAAAGATAAGGCGCTCAGCGCTGATAACTTCTTGAGGTTTGAACCAGGCATTTCACTACATCAAACATCGCAGATGTAACTGAAGGCATACATCGTTTAAACAGTGACTTGTGAGCGAACCTACCGATGTGTCAGAAAACTGATTTTTATCCTCCCACACAACTACGACTACACAACTACAGCAGAACACTCAGCACATATGCCGATCTTCGGGCTCTTCTTGAAGCCACAGATCGCATCAAATTTTATGTGGATGGCCTGGAAGAAACAAAAAGCAGGAAGACCGACATATTTTGCCGAAAGATGACCCAAGGGACCTTCATGACTATCGTCCGATACGTTTGAGTGTACTCTACAAGCTCTTCACGAAGATTGTCATGTCAAGCAAATCAAGAACATTGGATGATGCACAACCAATTGAACAAACAGGCTTTCGACAAGGATTTTGGTGCACGGACCACATCTAAACTGTGTTCAGAGTCTGGAGTTTGTCAGAAATACTAACTGTCCCTAGTCTTGACATTTGTCGACTTTGAACAGGCGATTGATCGGGTCGAAACGAATTCAGCATTATCCGCTCGTGTGGAAACTTTTCTATCGACCTCTTAATATCAAAAAAAAGCTCTCGGCGCTGATTAATCCCTGAGGGATGCGCCATGCATTGGACTTCATCAAGCATGGTTAGAGGTGATTGAATGCATATCTGGCTTATACAATGACTCGCGGTGGCCTACCAATGTGTCGAGCCAGTGTTGCTATCATCCCAGACAAGTCTGGTACCAATTTGCCGACCCCGTAGGGATGGAAGGCTTGGTGATCCATGAGCGCAAAAACCGATTCCACGTGTGTGTTGCAGAGCGCCTCCGACCATTGCGCCACATGGGCCCGACTTCTTACTACACCCATGGAAAAGGGGTTCGACAAAGGGAGACCATATAGTCAAAGCTGTTCAGTGCCGCACTGTAGTGGATAATGAAGTCACTCGATTAGGATGAGGAAGGCATACGCATTAATGGAAAATTCCTACCAAACTTTCACCGTTCCTATGCCTCCGTTATCTTCTCAAGAAGTCTCAACAAAGCAGAGACGATGATCAATGAGCTCAACGAAACGGAAAAAAAGATCCGACTGTGTCTAAGCCGCATGAAGACCCAGTTCATAAAAAAAGCACGGTGTAAAGGCGATCAGGTCAAACTGGGTAGTCAGTTGATCATACAGAAAACCTCAATATATCTTGTGTGCTCGATGAACATGGTAAACAAAAGGAGAGATTAGACAGAAGGGAACAGCTTGAGCTGAACTCGAGCTTTAATTCTCTTTTCTTCTTCTTCTACAATTGTCTAAGTAGCCACCGATTAACTAAGGGAGTTAAAAATCCGTGCTCACTCTTTGGATTAAACAGTTCTCCCAGCCCTCTGTTATCTAACAGTCATGGGTTGATACCTCAAACACGTGAAGAATATTGCGCACTACTCACAAACGATGCTTCTAAAACACAACCCACACACACACAATATTTAACCGAATTGCAAAGCCCTGATCTTCGAGTTGTATCTCTTCTTCGAGGGCCAGGGTAACACACATCGATAGCGAAACATAGATGGGCCGGTCATACAATAAGAAAAGACGACAGATCGACGAAAAGAACTGTAGAGTGGACTCCACGAAGACACAGGCGTCCCCTAGAACGACCACCTATATGCTGGGCGAACGTATTCGTAACTAAGGCCAACTAGCTGTACTCGCAGCTGCAGTTGTTTTACACGATATGAGACTGGCACTTGTCACTATGCTAGAATTAAACCACCTCTACAGACGAATGTGAAACAAAGAAACGAATGGAAAATATGCTGGGGTTCGCAGAACTCGTGAAAACGGCCAGTCTAAGTATCCAAGCAAGTGGAACAATTATGGTACTTATTTACAGACGCTCTTGATGGATGGAGGGTTTACCATGCTCGAGACTCGATATCAAACCAGGGACCGATACACTGTGTGCTTCACGGCACTATAACATTGTGCTACGCACGGTCTGCGCGAGAAACATGCATTCACACCCAGGCAAACATTCTGAAGGTAAATGTGAAGCTATTGCATATGAAACCGGAAATCCGCTCTCTGATGCACCATAGCGTCTTGGCAGATAAATGACCACCTGAGAAACAGAGATCTGACCAGTCACATAGCAGCTATTCGCCGAAAACACAGCGCGAATGGTGAGAAATTTTAAAAAAACCCAAGACAATATGCTAGGAAAAAGGATGTTTCGAATGAAACTAAACCAATAAAATAACTCAGTCATACCTTGCAGCTTAGAATGAGATATGTCCTGAATAGTTTGATAGTGAAAGTTGAAATCTCGAAGCAGCGGATAAAAATTGAAGATGTCATCGCCACTACATCTGTACGGAAATGGCATTCGAATATTGTAATCAGCGAATGACTTTATGATTTTATCGACCACCGCTATCAACGGTAGGACAGGCACTGAGCACGATGACAAGACTGCATGCAGTACCTAGAAAGAATCAGACTGGAAAGCACTCTGTTGACAATTATTTGGTTTGTGGAAATTATAAAAACGGTACTTCAGAAAACGACGTCACATAATGTTTAATCGATTTTCATATTTTAGTTAATACCGTTTATTCCATGGTTTGGACCAAGCTAGGAAGTTGTTCAAGAAGATGAACTACCTCTTGCTAGGCCTCTGTCTTCAAAAACATCAGGTTCAATACGAGGTTATACCCTGCACAGGTTTTTACAGACTATATGGCAAGTTCTGTTAAAGCCCATCAGTTTGAAGCACAAATTGAAGAAATTTATTCGATACCGAACATCTGAGAATGTAAAATACTTACTTTACAAACAATAACTACGGGAACAAATCCTATTCATTACAGAGAAACTTCGTAAATGATCCAAACCAGAAATTTTAGTGTTATATAACAGCTATAACAGACTTTAGCACCTCTTTCAATTTCTCTCTAATATCGTGAAATGCTTTCGCAGGCGCAAACTCCTCGATACCTCCGGCGCAAGTGATTCGCAGCAGATTCCTGTCCAAGTCATAGTTATTCACTACGCCATTGACGATCTCAGCTAACGACTGACTTTCCCGACTTTTAAATACTCTAAAACATGCACGTCGAAAGGAATCTAACTAAAAACCTGGTCACACAGGTATGATGAAAACAAACACTTCTCTAAGTATTGAAAAATTTGTGCAATATTATATTGATGCACATGAGCAAAAGGACACAATATTTCACAAAATATACATTTTTTACATAATATTTCGAAAAAAAGACGATATAACTCGAAGAATACGACGGAAATTCGAGTACAAAGGATTGTAAGATTAAAAGAGGAATTATAACTCAGCTGTAAGCTTCGCACAGGCTTAGACGGAATGCGGCCTGTCGACCTCATCTTGTAGAAACAAATAATTTGTTCCTTTCTTCGAACCATTAATTAATAAAAAAACTAAAGGTTTTCTAGAGCGACGTTTGGCACACAAGCAAGAAGCGAAACGAACTCAGATTCTGACAAATGATCGATTTTCACAGAAAAACTCCAGCTTTGGATATACACCGACATTACTCCCTTCCATACATGCTATCGGAGCAACCCAGCGATATGGAAGAATTAAGAAAAAAGAGACGCAATATCAGAACGTAATGATGTAGCAAAGTCGCAATTAAAAGGAAAGCAAGATACTGCATATTCTGTTGTATACTAGTCCGAGTCAGTAAACTTACCCTAGTATGTTACTCCGCCATTTCCAATCATGACTAATGCGCGACCCATGTACAACACGAAATTCCTAAATATCGCACAATAAGACAAACGCATTACGGAAGTAAGACTTTAAATAAACCCTACAATGTAAAAATAGGTGCATGCGCACTGATAATGATGCCGTTTAATAGGTACAGGATTCCGGTTCGAGACTGCACTTGGCCAAACAAGCCTCTCATTCCTCCAGGGACGGAGAATTTGTACTGGAGCCTACTGTGAAGCTCCCTCTGGTTAACAAGATCTCGCATAGCTACTTCAGGATTACAGAAAAAATGGATTCCGCCAGCATGGATAAACATTCACAAAGGAGCCCAAATCTTTAAACTGTTATAGAACTATCACACAACTCCGAACACCACGAACGCAAGGAAATGATAGGAATGCAAGAAGTGTTGGGACCTGCTCTATATGTGATTACGGACCATTCAAAAACAGAAGAAAACACGATCTGATGAATAAAAAGGGAAGGAGAAAAATAATGAAAAAACGAGGAAAATTCACAGCTTTACGTTTAGATCTAATCCACAAATATTCACCCGAAGTGATGGTGCTGAGTGTGTTTGTAAAACGACTTTCTGAAGCTTAAAGTGTGAAAAATGTAAAAGGTTGCAGTGGCGTCTCACTGCGACAACTACCTCCAAGAAAGTGTTATCGCATCGTTCTTCTAGTGATAAAAAAAATAGGACTGTCGTTGAACCATGCGAACAAAACGGTTGCAGCGTCATTCTCACGTCATAGTGCATCATTTTACGAATCTAATTATTTCACTAATATAATATTATACTACCTTGCCTAAATAGGATAGCGATTCAACAGCTAGACAAACACCTTGAGACGTTCGTGACAGTTCATTCTTCAGATCATCCATACAAAACCGTAAATTCGTCTGAAGTGCCTAAACAGAAGGTTTTCCCCGCAGCATCGAAGTAGTCATTTCGAGAAATGAAAAGAAATTTTATGATCTTATGTAATACCATTTGAAAAGTCGCAAAAAATAATGAACTGAGAACAAAGCTGGCTTCTACCACTAACTAAATAGCTATAAAATTTGTCAGTGGAAACCTTAATCTTAACCTCTTTATTTACTGGCTGCTCCTTTTGTTTAATGGCAAGGTATGCTGCGAAATATAACTTCTACGGTGCTGAGATATTTGCAAAACATATAATATCTCATAGTTAAAAAAAAGAGTAGGCAGTAAATAAAAAGGTGAAAATTGTGATTATAACTGCAGCCTCAGCTTAACTGGGTTCGTTGCCGATTTGGGCTCCCCAGATCAATCCCGCTGACTGGTGATTGCTGATGGCAAAAGATCAATAGAACTAGCTGAGAGACAGGCGAAACGAAGGACCCGCATGGTGTGGTGGTGAACGCGTTACTGCCCGGAAAGGAAACCTTAATGTTATAAAAGAGCGGTGCAAATCACAATGAAAGCGCAAAGCATGCAAGAATACGAACCAAACTGATTTATCTCTACAGGTTCTCCACTCGCCTCCAAAATTTCTTTCGGACAACAATGTATTGAAATTTCTAGCTGAGGAATTCCCTTTTTCTACCTGATTTCACACTACAATCTCCTACAAACCGATTCACAATGAAAGCCTTTCGTAGCCACGAAGTAAATTTCGAATAGTTCCCGGGATCGACTTTCTCTTAACCTCGGCATTGGAATGTGAATGTGCCGTTTTCTTGTTCAGCAATCGCGAGGTTTTTAAACAGCATACATTTACTTCCATAAAAACACAATACAATACAACGCTAGCTGACGTTTCGGCAGTATCGCCTTCTTCAGAGTTTGGAAGGGTATGCTGATATACAATCTACTAGGCCAAACGCTTCAATAACACTTACACAAAGACGAAAAACTCTTTGGTAATTACATGATCAACAACTTCTCGAAAAACCCACCGCTTTTTCGTGACTTCCAATGANTTCGTAGCCACGAAGTAAATTTCGAATAGTTCCCGGGATCGACTTTCTCTTAACCTCGGCATTGGAATGTGAATGTGCCGTTTTCTTGTTCAGCAATCGCGAGGTTTTTAAACAGCATACATTTACTTCCATAAAAACACAATACAATACAACGCTAGCTGACGTTTCGGCAGTATCGCCTTCTTCAGAGTTTGGAAGGGTATGCTGATATACAATCTACTAGGCCAAACGCTTCAATAACACTTACACAAAGACGAAAAACTCTTTGGTAATTACATGATCAACAACTTCTCGAAAAACCCACCGCTTTTTCGTGACTTCCAATGAACGACGCGCCCACGCGAAACACTTGGCCAAAACAAAATCCCGTTTATGTTGCCTTTTATAAGCGATGAAGTAAGCGCAGCTATAAAACGATGCTTAAGAAGGGCAGATCTAGAGGAATCGGTAGTGATAGTTGAAATACCACCGACTACTCTACGTCGCCAATTAGTTCGCAACCGCCTGTATGACCGTCTGTGTGAAACAACAAATTGCGTAATTTGCCCTTACGGCAGGGACGGTGATTGCATGAGTTCAGGTACGATATACCTGATCTCGTGTAACAATTGCGGAGATGAATATATTGGCGAAACGGGCAGACCTTTGTGTATCCGTATAAAAGAACACCTAGATTTCAAACGAAAACTAAGACGAAGCACCCCACTAGGCACGCATAGGATACAAAAGCATAGCGGAGACGATTTTGAAGTAAAAGACAATATCTTTGCACAGGAGACTAAAACACCAGCGCGAAAACTTCTTGAGGCTTTTTGGATAAATGCCAAAAACCCTACAATGAATAGCAGGGACGAATGCCCGGAGGTTATACGCGACCTGATCCCGTCCGTTCGCATCGATTTTTGATGTGCGATGGTGCAGTCATTAACCATATGCGACTGTAATCAGCTGTTCTAAACTTCCTCATTGGAACTCAGGTAAAAAGCGGTTAGTTTTTCGAGAAGCTGTTGATCATGTGATCATCACCATAGAGTTTTTCGTCTTTGTGTAAGTGTTATTGAAGCGTTTGGCGTAGTAGATTGTATATCAGTATACCCTTCCAGACTCTGAAGAAGGCGATACTGCCGAAACGTCAGCTACTGCTGTATTGTATTGTGTTTTTATGGAAGTAAATGTATGCCGTTTAAAAACCTCGCGATTGCTGAACAAGAAAACGACACATTCATAAATTTCGAATTTTCAGTCGACTCTTTCAAATAGGAATTGGCTATGCCACGTGGATAGCTAAAGTAATAGCAAAACTTCCGGTTCTTAACACGGTCATTTAAGAGTGGAAGAGTTCTCCACTGATCATAATTACTGCAGTAAATCTTCCGTAAAACAAAACATTATGAAAAAGCAGAGAAAGGAAGCCCAGCCGCTTGAAGAAGCTCTCCTGTGCAGAATATTCATTAACGTTTTGCTGTGAACGTTACCAGAAACTTCCTGCATGCAACACGCTTTTCTCTGGTGAACAAACTCTCCAGGAGAATAATAACTAAACCAATCATAACTCAACATCAAAATTTCCATGAGATTTTAACCTACAAAAGAAAAACACAATTTTACTGCTTACAGATTGCAGCATTTGAGAGTCCGGAAAGACGTCGTTCGGAGAGCTACCGGAACGCCTTGACAACTGCCACATGCGATCGAGTAACGCTCGAAATCCCTTGCCCTGGAACTTTTAACTAAAATATAACCTAAAAAACGTTGCGTCAGAAAAAGGCGCAATATCTAGACTTATTGGAAGGATAACAAGCTCAATATATGTTATTTCATCCCTCAGCGCAGTGACAAGAGAATCGTGAAACGCTTCCAATTGAACGAATGTTGGCAGATAGCTAATGAAGACAGATAGTTCATCAAGCGTTTCAGCTAAGCAAAAACATTTATCGATCAATAATTATTAACGGTCGTTCAAATTGCATTTTTTTTTGCTTCTTCTTTCTTATTTTATTCCCCTTCAAACAGCATGTAGTTATTCCAACGGCACACCTGACCAACGGGGTTTAACCTTCGATTTGAAGCGATCGAAATGAAATCACTGCGTGATTTTTCCACAATGCATAGATGGAACAGCAGCACTTATTGGTGGGAAGAATGAATGGTACTGTTTAATGCCAGTGTTTTCATATTTAATTAACGACAATTTCACAAAACACAGGCTAAACTCGATCACAATAACGAAGGCGTAAGTTCTCGAATTCAAAAATTCAGCTGAGATATGGCATAATATTTGTATTTAGTTTAAAACCGCTAACGCATAATAAACAGATAGGACAAAATGTGATACGCTAATGTGATTGATGGCGCGGATATAGTGCAGTGGTTAGTTATACTGCCGTTCAGGAAGCAATGGCGCTAATTCGATTCCCGCCCAACGCTCTTCTCCAATCAACGTGAGGACACCTTAAGCCGACTATCTCCAAGATTGCACGGAGAATCAAGTCAACCAGCATTCTACGGTATTCATAAAAAAGATATCCTTAAGCAGTAGTCGAAATTACATGCAAAATATTCGAAGACCATTATGGACGATGAATTCGAGGAAAACGAGTGGAATACAAGAAGTGCTAGAATCCGCACAGTAGATTTTACGACGAGTCATGTAAATCAGTAAACATGAACAAAAAAGAATTAACTCGATAAGTATCTGATATCATCGTAAACCGACGTTCATTTAATCTCGGTATAAATGATCAATCTACCTTATTTCAATAACAGATTAATAGGAGCTTCTTACTAAAAGTTCATTACCCTAATGTTCCGACGTCTTCGTCTTCATCAGAGCCGATGATCTGAGTCGATGGCCTACAGTGGTCTTCTGGATGTGGTGTGTTCGCCGTCGTATCGAGCTGGATCTTCTTCAGTGGAGCACAGAGCGAATGGAGCAACTTCACTAGGCAGCGCTCTTTTATAAAGGACAGTTGTTGTGACTGGCTTACTTCATACTTGAACGGTCCGTCCTCATGTCCTCATTTTTCGGAGACTTGCTGGTTAAGTGATTGTGGTTCCCTAGAATCCTGAGGCCAACCTGGCCAAAGTCTGCCCCAGGTCTTCACCACGACAAGCAGTCGCAGCCCTTGTGGATCAAAGGGAGATTCGCCACCATGTGACTTTGATACCAGGACGGTGGTGGATTTGGGTAATAATTTACTCTTAGCTAGACTTCCTGATGGAAACACCGGACTCCTTCCCAGTTTGGGAGACCCTGCCGGGAAGACGAATCCTCCGCTGTACATCGCAGTCCGACACCCACGAACACCTTCCCGCTACGATGAGGCGGTAGACCATTGGGAGATGACTGACTATCCCTTGATAATAATTTTTTCTCAACGAATAATCAGCCCTGCGGCAGTCCCTAAGTATTCAATGTTTAAAGTGTGACAATGTGTAAAAAAAAAGTCTGTTTGTGCTAGTACGAAGCGCTTGGACGGGGTAACCACCCAAATAAAAACATGGGCACAAAAACGGAATATGCACCTTTATCTCACCTCTCTACGCCTTCAATCATGATAACCTCCTTATACAATAGAAAAACATGTGAAACTTAAGTAAGCAGTAAATAAAAAAGTTAAAACTGCGACTTCCACTACAGTCTCAGCTAGACCGGATTCGATGCCGATTTGTGCTTCCCAGATCAATCTCGCCGAAGAGTGAATGTTGATAGATTGTAGATAGAAAACTAGCTGAGAGACATGCGAAGCGAAGAACCCGCATAGTGTGGTGGTGAACGCGTTTGCCTCTAGGAAGTGAGGGTAATAGCGTGTTCGTTCCTCACCGCTGATACCTGCGGTTCGGAGTTTTGCAAATATCTCAGTATTGTTGCGGTTGTTTCACAAATAATAATACCTTGCCGGAAAAACTTGTAAAAGGCAGTGAATAAAAAGTCAACATTGTGAGTTACGTTAAAAATTAGAGGTTGTTTTCTAAGAACAGAAAAGAATAACACTCACGTTAAAAATCTCCGGATCGATTAAATCTAAAGCACAACACTTCACAATGGAATCGATAAGCACCTCACGATCGACATCGCCTATGGAGACCTCACCAGATGTCTGACTGATTAACTGAGCAGAACTACTGCTTTCCGACTGAAAGCTTGTTTTTAGTGCACTATTTAATTCCGTACGCTTAAAGAAAAAGATTAATTCAGTACTGAAAAACTCAAAGTAAAGAAAGAACATCTCCATTTCTATTCTCTTCTCCATTTTTTTTCGAGAGATGTTTGGCAGTGAAATCGACGTTTTCAAAACTTCAGCTTTCAAAATTAAAATTATTTCACCTCAAAACGAATAATCAATGTCTTTTAAGGTTGTTTAAGTGAACTTCAAGCATACAACAATTCATTTAACAATAAATGAAAAACAATAAAGCCTAAAAGAAGGATAAAGTTCTCGGCGTTGATCAATCCCTGAGGGATGCACCATACATTAGACTTCATTAAGCATCGCTTGGTAGTGATTGAATGGATATCTGGCCTTTACAATGACTCGTGGTGGCCTACCGATATATCGGGCTAATGCTACTATCCTCCCAGACAAGTGTGGTACCAATTTACCGACCCCGGAGGGATGGGAGAGTTGGTGGGCCATGGGCGCCGGGAACGATTCAACGTGTGTGTCACAGTGGCGCTTCCAACCACTGCGCCACGACACGCCCCAGTCACAACAAAGCCAGCGCATCTCTATACGATATAACTACCACAGGCCAAACATGATCTACTACGAGCTACCGTGAAGCTTCGCATCAAATCGAATGCAGTTTTCTCGTTTTTCCTGTTTCGAATTTGTGGCTAAACAAACTCAGAAAAGGTTAGCATGACACTGAGAAATACTCCGTCATCATCTACTAACCTTTTCTCAAAAAAGGGCTGACCAAGTACTAGACGGCTTAGGAAACCCAACACTAAAGCGAAAAGCGGTTTTCTAACCTAATGAACTTATGAGAAAAAATGAATTCGAAATGAAACGATCCAAAAATTGAAAAAGGAGAAAGATAAAGATAAGTCAAATCACATTAATCGTGAGTGACAGTGTTGGACGTTGTTCGGAGATTCGTTGAAGTCCAGACACTGTCGATTCAAATGACGACTGCTGTCCCACTTCTACCGTTTCTGTCGATGAACTGAAAAAACTACTATAATCCCCTTATTCTATTAATAGAAATGATTGCATAAGAAATGAATGGTGATTAGGTCAGATTTTTTAGAAAATAAGCTAAATTACAGAGAACAGGAATCAATTTAACGCGTTATTTACAGTCATATACGAAAACTTAAGTTTGCTAATAGAATTCCTTTAAAAAATATTACTGTCATAATTAATAAACCTTAAGAAACATTTGAACAAAATCGCTTAAAATATAACATACTTTATATTAATAGGTGAAGGCATCACAGTGGTAGAGCGTTACCACCAAATACGCGCGTGGCCCTGATTCGACCCCGCCCTGGGGGCGACCAAGCCACGTCTCTCTGGGATGGGGAAAGTAGCATCGAACTCGTCTGGAATCAGCTGGTACCTTCCAATTAACCAAAAATGCCGCCTGCCTGTCATGAAGATCTAAGAATGGCCTAGCATGACTGTCTGAGAATTTCGGAAAGAATTTACTTGAGCAAGATTCAACGACACTGATAAATTCCTCAAACAGCATTCAAACATATATGCAAATCTGAAGCCCTTGGAACAATATCGTTACGACGGAACGAATCTAGTGGAATAAGTGCTGCGATCCGCACAATATTTCAAACTGGGTTATTTTTAAAAAATTTTTTTCTATTTCACTATCCATAGATGGTCATCTTTGAAAAGCTCATCGTTTGTGCCTTGTCTCGATGCCAATGTTCTTTGCTATTCATCCGAATTTTGTTCCAGTTAGATGATTAGATGACGACTGTGAAAGCGGATATAAAAATTGATTCGAGCAGCTTTTTGTTTCAAGTGAATTCACCGCTTGACGTGAAATCCACTCGCCCTGTCAAAGTTCCACTACGCGAATTAACAACCATGCGGTAAAATTTAGGTTTCGAACGTTCCTTGATGGAAATGAGCGACATTGTTTATGACGACACTTGAACAGGTCAATTAAAGCAGATTCACGAATAATGATCCGAGACTACTGTGCAAAATAAAACTACAATGTTGACTTTTTATTCACTGCCTTTTACTAGTTTTCACGGCAGGGTAGTATTTGTGAAACAACTACAATGATGCTGAAATATTTGCAAAACTCCGAACCGCAGGCGTCCGCAGTGAGGAATGAACGTGCTGTTGTGCTTTCCAGAGAGTACCACATGGTAGTGGTGGTGAGCGCGTTACTACCCGTAAAGGACAATAGTGCGCTCGTTCCCCACTGCAGACACCTGCGATCCGCAGTTTTGAAAATATTTCAGCATCATTGTAGTTGTTTCACAAATAATACCCTGTCGTGAAAACTAGTAAAAGGCAGTGAATAAAAAGTCAACATCATTGTAGAGCGAAAACTACAGTTTTGGAACACCTCGACCCGGAAAGTTAAAAGAAAAGTCGGCAAATCGGTCCTACATGGATTCAGCTGAGTTGAAAAGTTGTCGTCATAAAGACTGTCGTCACGGAACAAAACAATCTAGTTCTTGATCGAATTGGGATATGTGACGAAAAGTGGATCTGTACAATAATTGATGCCGTTATCCGATAGGATAGACAAAGATTAAACACTAAAGAATCTCCCGAAGATCAATCATCATCTAAGCGAAGTTATTACGCGTCTTCGCACTCAAACGAGGCGATTCCTGAACTCTGTCATAAATCAGTGCATGGAAGAGATATTTTCAGGGTACCCAAAAACCTATCATGGACAGAAATTTTCGTGACTGGTAGTGAAGAATCGAAACTATTAAAATAAGTTTCTTTTTAATAGTAAATATTCCTGATAACTAAAACTGCACGAATCGAAAGGCTTAAGAAAGAAAACTATGGTCCTTCAAGCTTAGCAGGATTCTCGAAAATGAATTACTTGATATTCAGGATCAGCTAAACTGGCATATTGTTACAAAATTTTTGATTGAAATATTTTCAATTGAACAAATTAAAATAGCTTCTAAATTTAGTACAAGCCGAGATTTCAATGTGGAGGTCAAAAACCAGAAGAACTATTTCGATTAACCACTGTAACAATTCAGAGTAATTTCTTTAAAACAGAAGACATTCTCTCTCTTCTGGTACACTTTTCCTGTACTACCTGAAACTGCTTCCGAACATGCAACTCATGTACTTAGCATAACTGGAAAGTGCTCTGTAATTTTTCTAATCGCTAGCAGGTGCATACTTAGAAAAGCCAGCGGGTGAGAAGTGTTCTGTAGTTTCCTTTTATGTTGACATCTGTATGTTTTCAAAACACGCTGGCTGGAAAAGATTCACGTCTGCTGCAGTTGCAACCGCCTTCATTCGGCATCTGGAAGTCGTAATCAGGTATTTATGGGTATTTGGCTGTTGTGATAGGAATTGATTAAATAGATATTGACCAGAATGATCTGGTTTCGCCGTTGCACCCGTTGAAGTGACAGTAACTATAACAGCCAAGTTGATAACGAGTAACATAACAACAAAACCATTCCACATAAAAATTGAAGCATAGGGACTAGGAAACTATTTCTTGTAATCTTAAGCCAGAAATGGTTTGCGTATAGCACAGTGACTAGTTGCGCTCCTCCATACACACTGAAACGAACACTGATTCGATCTCGCGCCCTGGGCTCACCATCTCTTTCACCCTACGGGGTTGGCGAATTGAGAGCAAAACTGTTTAGGAAGATAATAATTAGTTGAGAAATCGGTAAGCTCTAGTAAGTCGCTCTGTAAGCCAAATACGCAGTCAACCACCTATGCGATGCTTAATGAAACTGAATGGATGGCATATCCGATGGATTGATCAACGCCGAACGCTCTATCCTTCATACCAGAAGTATGGAAACAGAGTGAACAAAAAACTTGTTTGAACGACACTCTAGTGAACATGAAAACACCATGCAAGCCGTGTATGGCCTGTATGTGAGAAGCTTGAACTCATATATTAGCCTCTGATAAAGCACTTGCTTCAAAAGTTGTTCAAAGTAACACATTGTGCATAATGAAACGTTTCTGGATGATGGTGAAATAACATTATAAAAAAGGGATAGATCATGATTTCACATGGATAAAGGACAAAAGATACAGCTATCGGCGCTGATCAATACCTGAGGGATACGCCATGCATTCGACTATCTGACAAGTGACTCACAGTGGTCTACAAATGTATCGAGTCATTCCTGTTACCCTCCAAGACAGGTATGGTACCAATTTGCCAATGGTGAGTCTGGGGAGCGGGATCGATCCCGTATTTATTGTAGGACGTCGCTAACCACTGGTTTCACGCACCACTTTCTGCGCTACATGCAGCCATTCAATTTCACTTGAATACCTAAACCACTCACTCACCCGTGAGCACTTGAACGATAGCTAAGACCGATTGGGCATCGATGTCTGGTCATATTTCCCGTACCGCCACCGGTATCCGTATAGAGTACCTGAAATCAATCCATAGCGGCAAATAAGACGATAAGGCCACTGAAAAAGTTTGAAATATGTGTCGCACGAAAAAACTTAATAAATATTTGAAACAGTCCTAACTACCATGAACATTAAGATGTTCTTTTAGCACATATCATAAAACCACACTATATCAATATATCAATATTAAATAGAAATGACGATAACGGCGACAAAATTCGTACCATCAAACAAAGGTATATGATGCGTTGAGCTGAAATACACAGACAGTCATTAACCCGTATATAATGCTGAGATATTTGCAAAACTCCGAACCGCAGGTGTATGCGGTGGGGAACGAACGCGCTATTTTCCTTGTCCCTGCGGGGAGCAGCGCACTTCATCACCACACCATCCGGGTCCTTCGCTTTGCCAGTCTATCAGCTAGTTCTATCGATCTTTTGCCATCAGCAATCACCCGTCAACGGGATTGATCTGAGGAGCCCAAATCAGCATTGAACCCAGTTAAGCTGAGGCTTAGTTATAATCACAATCTTAACCCTTTTATTTACTGCCTTTTTCTTTTTAATGGCAGGGTATGCTGCGAAATATAACTCGTATATATATCGATTTGGGCTCCCCAGATCAATCCCGTTGACGGGTGATTGCTGATGGCAAAAGATCGATAAAACTAGCTGAGAGACAGGCAAAGCGAAGAACCCGGATGGTGTGGTGGTGAAGTGCGCTACTCCCCGGTAAGGACAATAGCGCGCGTTCGTTCCCCACCGCATACACCTGCGGTCCGGAGTTTTGCTAATACTTCAGCATTATATACGAGTTATATTTCGCAACATACCCTGCCATTGAAAAAAGGCAGTAAATAAAAGGGTTAAGACAGTCATTAGTTTAACATAGCATCTCTGCAAAGCACACACGGCTTCGAAATTTCAGTATCAGACTGGTCTAGCAAGAAATAAGCACCGATTTGTAAACTGGTAGGCCCTAGTGAGGTACTGTATACGCTGAATATGTCTGCAATAAAATCTACGATGTTATGAATGAAGTCAAATGCATGGCATATCCTTCATGGATAAGTGCTACTAGGTCAGTGCCGAACGTCTTATCCCTTCATGCTTCATCATGAAACAGTCAGTACAACGCATTTGATGGGGAAAAATTTGTAACACGCATAAATGAAAAGATATTAAAGGATAACTAGCTCTGATAAAGTAACTGGTAGCCGGTAATCGCTCTGGAATCTGTTCACTAATATATTGAATTATATGACGTTAACAAATTCCTCAAAAATACGGTTCTCTTAAATTTAGATCGGAAATACCACAATTCTCTAAAAGTGGTGAGATAAAAAGCAAGATTAACAAAAGGATAAAATTCCTCAAGAGGAACAGGAAATCTGCGGATATTCAAGCGGAGATTATTTCAGAACGCCTGGAAAATTTTGCATATATCGAGGAAGATGTGAGGGCTTCCAAAAAACCTCAAAGCTCACAAAATGCACTGCTTTTAGAATCATCAAACAATCATTATAAGGTTATCAATAACATAAACATGAAAGCAGAGAAAAAAAGCTTGAAAATCTAATATCAATGACAGCATTAGTGATGTTGCTATGTTACAGCACAAATACTCAGCATAGGGTTAAATTTATAAATAAAAAAGCTCTCGACGCTAATCGATCTTTGGAGGATGCTTCATGCATTGGACTTATTGACCATCGCTGGAGGTGACTTAAAGCATATCTGGCTTTTACAATGACTCGCGGTGGCCTATCGATGCATCAACACAGTGCTACTATCCTCCTATATAAGCGTGGTAGCAATTTGCCGACCCTGTAGGGATGCAAGGTTTGGTGAGCCACAGGCGCAGGGATCGATCCCATGTGTATTGTAGAGCGCATCCGACCACTGTGCCACACGCGACACTAGATATATTCATGGCAGTTATGTTTTTCCCAGTTAAAAAAATTGAGCATAACATCTTCTGTGTCGTCAATATAAGGATACGGTTTTTCAAAAAAAAAAACCAAATACAATATGACTACCTTACAAGCATAGCAAGCCACATATGGTAGCCGAACGTTGGTGAGAGAGTCGAGCACCTGAAGCATTTATAATGTAAATTTGCATTAGCATTCATTAAGTGAAGGATCAAAGTAGTTAACGTAGTAAGGAATGATCGCTAGCTACCGTACAGAAACTTGTGACCTTTACAAAAATAGCGGACTGTGCATTACTAAGAGTTTTCATTTTAACTCAAGAGTGACTTGGAACTCTCTTAGCGGAAGAGAGCTTCCCACAGAAAGCAGTGCGCGCTGGTACTTCTTGTATTGTGTCTTAACAAATCACCTAAAAGCAAATGAACAGACATTATTGTTTCAGGACGACAACATTATACTTGAAAATTGAGAAATCTCTTACAATTATAGTGATTCTTAAGAGAGGATATGATTTCGTCCACAGTAAAATACACTAAGTGACCACATACATAGACTTTTAGTGAATATAGCTGATTTCTCCTTTACGACTACGCATGTCTTTGCGAGAGTGACTTGATCAATTCTGAAAACGCTCTTCAAGTAGTGAGTATCACGGCACCACGACTCCCGCATACCGTATTTTACCAGCCTTCATTTTAATCGGTTTTAGACTTACTTCACATATGATTAATTATATTTATAAATCACTAATCCGCATAACACCATAGGGTGTACCAAGAGAATGAATAAACATTTCATGACGTGAATTTGAGGAAGATTAAAACCCTAGATCTCCTGCAAAGTTAACAGCAGCAAAGCGGAAGCTTTAACCTTCGTGACTAGGAATAAAACGTCTTCGATAGCTAACGTTGACTCAAAAACAGTTGAAGCCATGGAAAGAACATCGCAGCCGACCTGTCCGAAAAGATTCCATACTTCGCTGCGCCCACGTTTTCGGACCAGCTGAAATCGTCCATTGCCGCTACGAATGTCGTCCTGAATCACCGACTTGGCCGGCATTTGCGCCAACAGCTCTGCGGACGCCTGAGGTATCTGAACCTGAATGTGCATTAGTATTTGGAATTATACAAGAATGTCTAAAGATTTGTTTTGAAAAAAAAAGAAGAAAATATTCTTCAGAAAGCGTTTTGTACAAAAGAAAGGTTGTCAGATGCTTCATTTGCGTTTCACAAAATGATTTGAGAGAAATACTCGTAAAACTTCCCAAAATAGGCAAACATACTTCCTAAAGGTATAGGGCTAAGATTGCAAAGTTGATCACACTTTCATCACCAACAACTAACAAAACTCTTATACATAACGTACTTTAAGAAATTCGAAAAGAGCTAGTTTATAACCTTATTTTAATCGAATACTCAATGTTCACCGCATAGACGTAGCCTACAACATACTTGTTCCTGGGATAATCCGGAAGACAAAGGAAGTTCGAGGGATGAAGAGGTAAGCGGCTCCATTGACGATGGAGTACAATCCATGTTCTGCAACAGTGTTTATCCATACAATACTATACATGGATCGTTAAGTGAACATCGCTAGCAAATGTAACGCTACGTTTGAATGGAATGACAATATTATGTCGTCGTCAACTAATCGTTGGAGTTGCTATCATTCTGGAAGAATCCAGTATGCATGTAAGTATAGCAGCAGACCTCACCGATTTTCTACAGCCGACAATTGTCAGTGAAGTCATCGACGGGTCTATCACCGCTTTCTCGTTATTCCAAGAAGGACTACGCTCGAACGATATTCAACATGTCAACAAGAACAGAAGATGAGAAAACATGTCCGCAAGTTGCAGAAGAATTCACGCGCCAATCCAACCTTATCCAAGGATCAGGAATGCAAAACAAAGAAAAACGAATTGCAAGAAGTACTGGGATCGGCATGACATGTGAGTATGAGCCGTCTCATTGTACACTATAGAAATTATAAATGAATATTACGGTCTAACATAAACCTTGGCAAAAAGTTTTCATGGTTCTTAACAACCTTAATGGACACCACTTACATTTAGAAACGGTTAAATGTAAAAACATGCAGTAACTCCCACGACCGACTTTCTATTAACCTCGGCATTGATCAAGTAATTCTTCGTATTTTAGTTGAGCAAAAAACGCGAAAACGAAAAATGTTATTATTCTCTGTTCACGATTAAGCTGACGTTTCGGCGGATTTCGCCTTCCTCAGAGCCTGGAAAGGTCAAGTTGATAGCAATCCACTCGGCCAGACGCCTCCATAACCAAACATAGAAACTCTTAACCAAGATTCCAATCACGCTGAACACAGCTTTGAACGGTCTGGAACGGGGCCGTGGCAAAAACACGGTTAGTAATTATTTAAAAACCATTTGTTAAAAAAAAACTATGCGAACCATAACGTGCATCTGCGGTTCTACAACGCATAGCTCACCTCTAAGCAATATGTCTACAAAATAAATAAAACTAATTGTTTGATTCCAACCAGGTACTTTTTATGCTATGGCTCGCAATAGATCTAGAGATGCATCGAATTGGAAAATGATGTTCTTCAAATGATTTGCCACGGCCCCGTTCCAGAGCGTCCAGGTCTTAATCATGCCGAGCTCGCTAAATTAGTGCCAGACTTCTATGAAAAGACATCCTTCCTATCCATAAAGGATGGCATGCAACTCGCTGTGATGAAGAATCGATTAGAGATATTTAGGAATCCAAAAAGAATTTACTCCACCAGCTGTAAATAGCATTCATGAAGAAGACAAAATCGTCAAGTAGCCACCGAACTAACACTTAGGTCCGAAAACCTTCCTGAGCTAACCATACTAAACAATGAACAAAATACGAAGTGCTGGTATCCGTTCGTAAAATCGGGTCATATAAATAAATCATTAAATGAACACGAAATTACAAAATGATCATGCAACATTTTAAACTCGCGAATTTGAACTCGTATGGAAGAGTAGCGCAGTGATCTGATGCGCCCTGCAATACACATGAAATCGATCGCCGCGTTCTAGGCCCATCAAGCCTTCCATCCCTCCAGAGTCGGAAAATTGATGCCAGAGTTGTATGGGAGGATAGCAGCACTGGCTCGATAAATCGGTAGGATATCGCGAGTCATTGTAAAGGCCAGATATGCATTAAATCTCCTCCAATGATGCTTATTGACGTCGAATGCATGGCGCAACTACAGAGATTGATCAACGCCGAGAGCTTTATGAAGGAGTACAGGAACGGAGCGTAGAGAACTTCCTAAGTGAATGTATGCGGAGATTTTCTAAGGTCCTTCTTAGCAAATTTTGGAAAGTAGAAAAACACAAAGCACAACAATACACAAAACCAAATGAGGTTCGGCCGAACGTGCCTACATTGCCGTTTTTTTTTTTTGCTAAATCTATTTCGTTATAAATATATCATATTCACTGATTCACTGACGAAATCGACTTGTGGAAAATTGAAGAAAATAAAAAACAAAAAAACATAAATAAACAATAGATAAATAAACTATAAGTAACGAAATAACTACTAAATGAATAAACAATAATAAAAAAGTAAACAATGACGACTTCTGATTGATGGATAGCCATCAAAAAAAAGTTATCCATGGAAATTCGAAAGAGCGGTTTTCATAAACCTTGGGATCAATAATTAATTTGTGTCTTATGAACCTCTTAACGGTTTACCGCCTCACCGCCGCTGCAAGGCGTTCCTGGGTGTCGGGTTGCTTGCACAGTGGAGGATTCATCCCCGGACGTTTCCATTAAAAAGCCCAGCTAAGAGTAAACCATTACTGGCATCCACCACCGTCCTGGTATCAAACTAGTCGCCTGGTGGCAAATCTCTCTCTGATCCACAAGGGCGGCGATTGTCTGTGGTGGTGACAACCTGGGGGCAGACATTGGCCTAGCTGACCTCAGGACTCCAGGATACCACAATGGCTAAACCAGCAAAACTTCGAAAGACTGGAGATTATGCTGGGGCCCGCACAACTAGTGAAGATGGGCCATCCAAGTAAGTAATCTTATGAACGGCCTTTGCTGAGCCTACGCACGGTTGCAGCTAGTTGTTTTTGTAATTCAATGGGTGACATTTCGACGAGTTCGTCTTTTTTTGAGTCACTTTGTTAGGTCTGAGACCATATTTATATTTATCAGTGGAAAATCACTCAAAAACCGTCTTTTATACCACGGCAGTGCTGAGTGAGGTTAGTTTCTTCGAATTGTGTTGCACTCATATAGGCCGACTCGATGCGGCTACGGAAACCTACATCGGAAGAAGGAACAAATCTGAACATTAGACCCAAATCACTGTGTCTTTGAAGGACACAGAGGCGCCGAACAGAAACTTTTGCAATAACCCAGAGTCAGCTTGTCCATGAAAAAAAAACATACATTTATTTCATAACCTTGTCCACCATGCTTTGGCGTCCTATGCGTGCTTAGCGGGAGTACTTTGTTTGGCTTTAAGTTTTATATCTACGTATTCCTTTACACCGACAAAGGATGGTCTACCCGCTTCAACAATGTAACGGTACCATTATAAAAGACATATAATTATGTAGTAACTGGTTTATACAATTATGAACTCCTTTTACTTTTCATATATCGACAGCGAACTAAAGTTCCTTGGGGTGTTCTGCTAGAGTATCGAATAGATGCTTTTTAATGACATGTATATGATGCATTAAGACATCTTATCTTCGTATTCGGCTAAGAAAAAAACCAAAACCGTTGAGCCCATTTATAAAACGTTTCAGTGAAAAACTTTTCTTTATCACTACATTCAATAACGGTTCATCATCTCATAACGGTTAGGAGATTCGCTTCTGGAGGTGTCGATAATTAAGCGGTTCATTTTCCAGCAAAGTCAGTCAAGCTAAAAATTAGCCAACCATCCGGAAACTCAAATAAGAGTAGAGTTCTGCCACGACGTAATACGGTGAACTGCTAGGTTCCTTGTTTGACAAAGACTATGAAAGCACCTCACAACAAAAGTGTAAGGCACCTGGCGATCTTCGAGTTAACGAAGACGGCTGAATAGTTCTGACGGAATTCGAATCAGGAATGTAGACTTTAGCGGTTTTCTGTATGAAATCTAGAAGAGGTGGGTAAATTGTAATTGTTACTACTCGTACTTGAATAATTGGCGACGGTTTCACATCGTCCATTGTGCTACTACTCGGCGTCATCATCGTTGACGCGATTGCCGTCAACTGACCGAGAATTGCCGGAGCCAAACCCATCGTGATGTAATCATTCGCTTTCGGCGATTCACCTACAAACATGAAACATTCTTAAAGTACACAGAAATTGGCATTCTTTTATTGCAAGAAAGGTTACAGCGTATTTAAGCGAACTTTATAGCTACTCGTCGTGTGAATACAGAAGGATAAATATACACATGTGAAACCTTAGTACCTATGAACGACTACTGTATGATTTCTACAATAAATTCCAAAAGACTCGAAAGAACCTTCTGTACAACAGAATCTAAGCCATAATCATCGACCGATATCACTTCACCTTGGTGAATGGAACAAGATCGAATACTGGTGAATAACTATTTTTTTTTGAATTCTCATTTTGCCAATGCGGCTAAGTTCTTAGATACTATGAGTTGTGCTGAAAAGCTTAAACGTTTTCCAGTAGAACATATTATGGCCAGTGCGTTAAAAGCAAGTAATAATACAGTTCATCTAAGGCACTTTATGGACTATGAGGAAAAACGCGAAGAAAAAGGCAAATGAAAATGACATTGATAGTGATTAAAAGCTTATTGATCAAAACATACATATAGTTCCCAATGTTCTGTTAAAGCTATGCTGTCTAGACCAAATATATTTTGGAAGGCAAGAAAAACTGGTATTTACATCGCAATGACTTGCGCTCTACAGATACGTAGACTAAACACAAAAATAAGCGCACAAAAAGTTACCCCTCATAGGGTCATGAGCTATTTCATAGCTGACTAAAACTATTTTTCAAGATTATCTTCTCCACCTAACGTCTCAACGGAGCACTCCATAGGCATTAATGTGCATAGAAAAATCTTCATTGAATAGAAACAATGAGGTTAGCGCTTGTTGTCAAGCTCATTCAGGACGATGTTAGTACTCACAAGAGAGTTTCCGATAGTCCGGTGACGGAACGGTAAGCAAACGATTATCGGTCGTATGTGGCGGTGGTGGTTCCATAGTGAGAGGCGACGCAGGTGAGTGAACAAGCAATCGTGGCACGTCCACCGGCGAAAATGCCGACATTCGTGAATCGAACGACGCTGGTCGTAGTGCTGAAAAAGCGAACAGGCCAAACACTTCGGTTAATATGTGGTTAATACTGGCGACTTGAACTCATCTACACGGTGCTGTCGCGAGGGACAACAAATCATTCATGCAAACGAGTAAAGCTAAAGGATGCTGTTAGAATCATACGGTTGCACGATCACCGACTATCATGGACTTTAGCGAGCTTTTGTGAGCTTCATATGAAAACAAAACACCAGCACTGAAGCCAAACACAACCGTGGTGGGTTGTAGCATTTTGTAACATCGATGTATTTGACTAAACATACGATTTAAAAAGCGAGAATGAAGAAACGACAGAGACAAACAGAGAGAGAGAAAGACAGACAGAGAGATGCAGAGAAAGAGGGAAAGACAGAGGCAACAAGAAAGGATGGAAGAAAAAACGAAGGAATACACATGCTCTAAGCTAAGAACACTGAGTGTAGAAATCACTGTGATGGATAGTAGCTCAAGTCACTTACAAGGCGATGCTTTAACGGTGGACGCTTGACAGGTGTCAAACGATGACGCTCGTCTTCCCATTTCAAGTAGCGATGGCTCATCATCTTGTACGGCAGCCGACTTCTAAATAACGAAAATCAGAAAACAACCGAAATAGTGCTAAGAGATAAGACTGTCCATATCTTCACAGTTTTACATAATGGAGTTTTACTAGTGGAAATGTTTAAAACAGAATAGATCTTTAAAAAAGTTACAGTAAAGTCACTTTTTAAATTGGCGATAACGACCAAGATAAGGGAGCTCTGCACACTTGAAGAACAATGGAAGGCAATTCGGAAATCTTTAACATGAAAGCCCCATAACACTGCTACATAACAAAAACGGTTTAAGATGAAGGAAGTGTACAAAAATGGCTCACACTACCTATTAGAGCTTGGCGACGTACTGAGTTAGTATTTTTATCCACCTAAAGAAGTGCGGTAACGATACGCCAACCCCGGAGGAATGAAGAGCTTAGTTCGCCCCGGAAAATGAATCGGAAAAACGACCCTTTGCAATTCTTCGTATTCTTGTTGAGCAAACGCGAGGTGTTATTTTTATTCTTTATTCGCGAATAAGCTGACGTTTAGGCGGACTTCGTCTTCCTCAGAGCCAGGAAAGGTCAAGTTGCCAGCAATCTATTCGGCCAACCACCTCCATAACCAGACGAAGAAAACACTAAACCAAGATTTCAATCACATTGAACACAGCTTTGCACACTCACCGTTTTCTATGAGGCTTCCACTGAATATGTCGCGTGGAGAGCAACCGCATATAATTCACGTGGAAGTGTAATAAGCCTCTCCCATCAGAATAACAGGCTTATATAATGCCCAATATAACGCGTGATAATGAGGCATTCTTCCCTGCGGTTCATTTTCTGATTTCTGGAATTAATGCAGAATGCCTCTACAGTCTTGCGCATTTGTGTTCTCGATTCTTGCCCGAGGATCGTAGTCCCTACTTTAAAATCTTCTCCGTTATGTCTCTGCGTCCTATGCGTGTCTAGTGTGGGGTATTTGGTTTACGTTTGCCGACTAGATGTGGTGTTTTATACGGACATAAGAGAAGGGTCTGCCCGTTTCGCCAATGTATTCGTCTCCGCAAGCCTTACAGGAGATCAGATAAACTGTATCCGAGCTCATGCAATCACCGTCTCTACCATTAGACCAAATTATGCAATTCTGCGTTGCACATAGAGGTTCATATAGGCAGTTACGAACTAGTTGGTGCCTAAGACTACTCGGTGGCATTTTTACTACGTTTACCGAATGCTCTACACCAGCCCTTATTAAGCAGCGTTTTATAGCTGCACCTACATCATTTGAAATAAAGGGTAGGATAAACGGGGCCTTTTTATCGCAAGAGTTGCCGCTTGGGGGCCTAAGATTCCCCTACACCTATCCCGAGCTACAGTTTCGTAGCCATTAGAAACGGCTATTTCCCGTGCCAGGTTCCCGGACTCCTATCTCTGCACTCTTCTCGTGTGCACGTTGGTTGCTCTTCGAAACATGTTTCTTACAGGAGCCCTTTTCGTGTGAGAGGGTTGAGTGGAGAGGTAATGAACCAAGGTGTTTTTACTACTTGGCTTTCGATACCATTTCGTAATGTAGCCGTTTTCTAATAGGCTAATTTGCACGTTTAGAAATGGAAGCCTGTTTTCTTTTGGTTTCTCTCGGGTGAATTTAATATACTCCAACTGTTCGTTCAACAACTCGAAACATCAGTCAATTTCTTCTTGTGTTGAGCAAATGACCAAACAGTCATCTATATGTCTACAGTAAAGTAACAGACCGAGGTCGATTACTGACGCTTCTACCTTAGACATGAATGCAATGGCAAGGCTTGGTGCCAGTCGTGGTCCCATTGCCAGCCCTCTCATTTGTGCGTAATACCTCACGGACCATCTGAGGATTGAGCAGTTTAGGTACTCCTTTAAGAGTGTCATCAACTGCTGAATCGAGAAGCCGTTTATTGCTCTTTCGTGTTGTACAAGGAGCTCGCTTATGGCTTGCATAGCGGAGTCATTCGACACGTTCGTATAGAGGACATTGACGTCGAAGGGCTCCACCACGTACGCGCTGTTGGGTCGCGCGTTACGTAGACAACCCAGGAACATTTGGGTGCTCGTTAGATGAGCTGGAATGTACTTCAACAACTGAGGAAGTAGGGTTATTAACCACGTTATTTTATCCCTTGGCCCGTCCACGCAGCTAATGGGGGGGGGGGGGAAGGGTCTAACCTAGGGTCCATAGGTCTAACCTTAAATAACGATGGATCGGTAGATGCAAGATCATCGCTGGATACTAACTTATGAGTTTTTATAAACAAGTACAAGACGGGGCATGTTGGTAAGTCAACTTTTAGTTGAGAGATAACTGATGATTTTAAGCCAGCAGTCCTTGCCATTTTGGCCCATTCGTGGTTCAATTTCCGGTATTTACTTTTAAACTCCTTTTCAGATGATGGGCGATAAAGCGAAGCACCTTCAAGATGCTTTTTCGTTACCTCAACATCTAACTGATGGGGAATTACGACAAACTCTCCACCCTTATCACTAAAGGATAGTCTTTTCTTTCTCAACCTTATCAGCTCTCTTACCTCTCGCATACCACGTTTTTGCACTTCAGTGAAGTTTGAGCTGCATCTTTCCGCTCGATAGTGATTAAGGACTTTGAGAGTTTCATTTGTAAACATCCGAAATTTAACATCAGCTTTATTATTGAGCTCTTGTTGTCTAAAGAACGGCTGAGGAAATGGTGCTGTTGGTAGGGCCCCACTTGGTGTTGTTCGGACCTATTTTACGTTTCATCTCTAGCTCTTTTGCGGAATCTGTCTTGAAGTTCATGTAAACTACATGCGACCCTACGCAAGGTTATCTTAGAAATGAGTTCAGATGGTGAGAAACTTGGTCCCAATTCTAATAACGAGCGCGCACGGTCAGGGAAAGTCATGCTTTCTAACACGGTTAGCCATGAATTTCCTTGCACATTATTTATCCTACTGTGACCTGTTTGATGTTCGTTAGCGGGTTCTGCGCTCTTGAAGCCGTGTTATGCGATCTACTCAAAAGGTCTTCGAATTTTTTCCGCAAAATTATTTTAGCATTAGATCTAATAGAGTTGCAAATCAACGCTGATCCACCCACTATTCTCCTCCAGAGGCGGTCCTCCAAATACTGAGCACAAAAGTTTTCCTTCGACTCGCACTTCTTCCACTTGGCGAACATCTGGTTTTGTCGACTTCGTAGACAGGTGTGTAGTATTCGCAATTCGATGTCCAGTACTCGGTGACGGTCCTTTGGCAGTCTGCATACATCATGTAGTCGTCTTCGTTTGATGAAGTTCTGGACGACTCGGTGTTTCAGACAGAGAAGGAGAAAGTGTATTGACTGTCGAGCCAAGACGACCTTTTGTCTAAGTGGCAGCGCTTCTTTTACAAGTCGGAAGTATCTTGTTGATACATCTTGCAGTAACTCCTACGACCGACTTTCTATTAACCTCGGCATTGAACAAGTAATTCTTCGTATTCTTGCTGAGCAAACGCGAGGTGTGATTTTTACTCTTTATTCACGAATAAGCTGACGTTTCGGCGGATTTCGCCTTCCTCAGATCCCTTTGCATATTCCAAAGAACTTTTAACTATTGCGCTACAAAATTCCGCAAAACTGTATGTTGTGGCTGGCAACTGTTTAATTATGTTACACGGCATCACATACATACTGTGCAGATCCAAAAAATCTTCCATTCATTCCATTTTCCCGCACTATTCGTCCATAAAATTCTTCGAATTTCTGTGTGGGTACAGCTGCCACTTCAGGACTTCGTCTTTTTCATGAATGCCATCTAAAGATGATCGAGCAGATTCTCCTTGGCATCTCGGAATAGTCGCATTAGGACGTTCCCAGATAATCGTCACAAACAGCTAGCAGTCTTTACAGATCAGAGTCAGCGAGCTGACCTCAGAGAACATCGGCACCAACTTCCCAATACTGACGGGATTGGGTCTTGGTTGACCTACTTGGAGTGATTTTCAGAAAAGGATAAAGGATAAAACGTTGACCAATTCTAAAAAATGAGCTATGCATTCGACCTTATCAGACTAGTGGTGATTAAATGCAAATGTGGCCTACATAATGAATTGTTAGGTTCCCAAGCTTAAGATGTTTTTTTAGAAAACTGCCTTAGAATCTTAGGCGCTAAAAACCTGCTCAATCGATCGATATCGGATCTCGTAAATTTTTTCTCACTCATATATGGTTAGAAAACTGAGCTTAAACTAAAAATGTGCAACAGTTATGCGTTTGGTTAAACTACATCACCGTGACATATCCCTAAAAACAATCACAGATGACACTCTGTGATGAAACAAAAAAAAGCAGTTCCTTGGAAAACGACAGATATTTTCAGACTTAATGAAAACTTATGTAATAACTTCTTCACTAGCCTTCTGACAAATAAATATGAGAAATCCCATAAAAATACTAGGGTCAGTCAACACATGGTTTCCTCTTACTCTGTTATCACACTGGCCTACCGACTACCGTACCTTTAATGAGCGGTTCCGCGGCCGTGAAGCACCACGCGCCGAGTCTTCTGGAGCAGACAGCTTGGCTAGAATATAAAGTATAATCAACTCGAACTTTACATAGACGTACAAAGACCGAAATAGAGATCACTGCGTTATACCGTCAAATATACATAAAATTATCTTCAAATTAATCGAGAAGATGATGTGAAGAAAACAGAAGTGAATGGTAATGCTAACTAGCATAGGATCGCATAGGTCAATAAAGTTAAATTAGGAGATAAAATACAACAAAAATGTGAAAAGTAAAATAAAACTCAGTCTTTTACAATGAGATGAGAAGTATAGCCTAATGTTCTCCAAAGTTGTTGAATTTTAAAGCACGCATTAAAGCAGTATTATGCCATTAAACATACGCAAAATCATCTCTTTAGTATTGTATTCGATGATGATTACAACGGTCTCAAGTTGTAGCTCGTTCAGACATCATATTTTCTCCAGACTTTTTCTTCTTCTATCGATTTTTCACTTTTCCACTTTATCAAGAAAACTGGAAAATCCTGAAATTTTACTACACTTTTTTTGAAGTTGAGAAAAAATGAAACCAACGCTGGAGAAATTCCAATGATGAAAAGCTATGCGTTTGACAACACAGTACGCTGTTCTCGAAGCACTAAGAACAGCAACACTTGTCACAATCAATGTTAAAACCGTTCTCGTCCAACGTTCAAACTATTTCGGAACAATAATGCTAAGCAAAAAGAGGAAAAAAAACAGAACATATATTCCCGGATGGTGTAGTGGTGAAGTGCGCTGCTCCCCGGTAAGGACAACAGCGCGTGTTCGTTCCCCACTGCATACACCTGTGGTCCGGAGTTTTGCAGGTATCTCAGCACTTCATTCGAGTTATATTTCACAACATACCCTGCCATTAAGAAGAAAATAGGCAGTAAATAAAAGAGTTAAGAACATATATTGTTTACAATATTTCACCACAATGACAATATTCAAAAAATCCCTCCAATAACGATAATGAATGGTCGTAGCCCGAATATATGTGTGTCGAATACAAAACGGATTTCAATAAATATGGGATACACTGTAATGACTGTTTAAAAAATCTAAACATTTGCTTAAAGACGTTCCGCATCACATTGTCAACAACTCTGTCTACTTTCCCAGCCCTTTTTCCCTAAGGTATTCCCAAATAACATTTCAAAATTTCAGAAGACGTTTGTAAAACTCCTTGTTAACTAAATCATTTTAATATGTATTCTTTCTTGATAAGCTTACACGAGGATGATAAACATATTTACTTCCGACTAACGCTTCGACGTTTTCGTCTTCTTCAGAGTCGATGATCTGAGTGGTCGCCGAGATGGTCCACACTTGTTATTCGTCTCGACGTGGCAGCTTCGCCTTCGTGTCGAGTCAGGTCTTCCTCAGCAGGCCATCTCCTCGAATGAGGCACCCTCACTCGGTGATGCCCTTCTATGCAGGTTGCTGATGGTCGATAGCTGTGATTGTCCGGTGATAGTGTTATAGTAACCTGTTCTTCCCGGATAATGCAGAAGGCGGTGCTACTATCAGCTAGCACGTACAAAGCGTAGTAATATTTCGAAACCGAATTTCCTTGAACCCCAGTGCGACTAATCAATATGTAACTCCCACGTCCGACTTTCTATTAACCTCGGTATTGATAGAACAATTCTTTCTACTTCTGTTCAGCAAACACGAGGTGCTATTTTATTTCTTTATTTACGTACAAGCTGACGTTTCGGCGGATTTCGCCTTCCTCAGAGCCTGGAAACGTCAAGTTGACAGCAATCTATTCGGCCAAACACCTCCATAACCAAACAGAGTAAATGCTGAACCGAAATTTCAATCACATTGAACACAGAGTCTTTGCACACTCGCCGCATTCTATGAGTCTTCCATTGAGTATGTCGTGTGAAGACCAACCGCACAGAATTCACATGGAAGCGAAATGTGCCCCTCGCATCAGAATAACAGGTTTATATATTGCCCAATATAACGCATGATAATGAGGCATTCTTCCCTGCGGCTCATTTTCGGATTTCTGGAATTAATCCAGAACGCCTCGAGAGTTCTGCGCGCTTGCGTTCTTGATTCCTGTGCGAGGATCGTGACACGAACTTCAAAGTACTCCCCGTTATGTCTCTGGATCCGATGCGTGTCTGGCGGGGTATTTGGTTAATGTTTACCGGCTAGGTGTTCCTTTATGCGGACAAAGAGGGACCTGGCCGTTTCACCAGTGTATTCGTCTCCGCTCGCCTTACAGGAGATCAGATAAACTATACCCGAGCTCATGCAATCACCGTCTTTACCATTGGGGCAAATTATGCAATTCTCCGTTGCACACAGAAATATTAAAAAAAAACTAGTTTGAGATATTGCGCTAAGGTGAAAATGAGAGATTGGTCCTTTCGATTAATTTTTGGATTTCTGAATTTTATCAAGAACTACCTCACGGGTTTCGGCCGCTAACATTTTGATTTCATGTGGTTGTTGTACATTGCAGTTCTACAACTGAGATTACCCATCAACAAGATTAGGCGGTCGAATTATTGAGGTTAATAACCGAGAACGAATAATCAATGATAAACTGAAATGAAAACAGGGAGGCTGAGAAATGAAAAGAACTCGGAACCTCGTGTGGGCCTTAAACTTACAATTACCCTTTCCGGTGGCTGATGTGCTTTCCAGTCCACCAACCGAAACCCTTGCTTTGCCATTCTCTAAGCCAGTTTTTTACTCTTGCGATGCTATCAGCAATTCACCCGTCAACGGTAACGATCTGGGAAGCACAAATCCGCACTGAACCCAATTAGGTTGCAGCTGGAGTAGAAATCACAATACTTTAACTTTCATTTACTTCTTACTATTTTTCTACTTCACAGCATGACAAATCCAGGGTTCAAAGATCATCTGAAACTCCGAGTTTGCTCATATCTTAGCATTTCACATGATGCCTTGCCATGAAAAAATAGTAGGCAATAAACGGAAGTTAAAACGAAAACAACAACAACAACGACAACTCTTACCAACCTCTCATAAGCTCAACAAAGACAGTTCGCAAGAATATATGTACATATATACATATATGTATACACATATATACATTTATATACATAAATAT